GCATTTCCGATGGAGGCGGAAATGTTGTAGGCCCGTGTGCTCAGATTTGGGTGCACGTTAAAGAACCCCAGGTGGTCGAAATCTCCGGAGCCCTCCACTAAGGCGTCTCTCATGATAATATGGTGGTTTTGGGACATTAAACCTCACAAATTAAATAATTATATGATGCGGGTGCGCGCTTCTCCTACTAACGTATGGGTGTTAGACATAGTTGTATCTTACTGTACGTAGTTATTATTTTTGTGCGTCATAAATATGAAAAATACGTTAGCATTTTTTGGTTATATTTACTTATACAATATTTTGTAATAGATAAAATTTGAAGGTAATTAATGGAGCTCTAGTATTGTAGGACTAGCATATGGTTCTTGAGTTCTGTCTATTACCTGCTGATTCGCTCACTATCATCATCATCATCATCATCATCATCATCAGCATCAGTCTGACTACGTCCACTGCAGGACAAAGGCCTCGCCCATTTTCCGCCAGTCAACTCGGTCCTGTGCTTCCTGCTGTAAATTTATACCCGCAAACCTCTTAATCTCATCTGCCCACCTAATCTGCTGTCTCCCCCTAACCCGCTTGCCTTCTCTAGGAATCCAGTTAGTTACCCTTAATGATTAGCGGTTATCCTGTCTACGCGCTACATGCCCGGCCCATGTCCATTTCCTCTTCTTTATTTCAACTATAATATTCTTGACCCCCGTTTGTTCCCTAATCCACTCTGCTCTCTTCTTGTCTCCTAAGGTTACACCTACCATTTTTCTTTCCATTGTCCGCTGCGTCGTCCTCAATTTAAGCTGAACCCTCTTTGTAAGTCTCCAGGTTTCTGCTCCGTAGCTAAGTACCGGCAAGATACAGCTGTTATATACTTTTTTCTTGAGGGATAGTGGCAATCAGCCTGTCATAATTTGAGAGTGCTTGCCAAATGTGCTCCACCCCCTTCTTATTCTTTTAGTTACTTCAATTTTGTGCTTCGGCTCCGTGGTAATTACCTGCCCTAAGTAGACATAGTCTTTTACAACTTTAAGTACACTATTACCTATCTCGAAGCGCTGCTCTTTTCCGACGTTGTTGTATATTACTCTCGTTTACTGCAGATTAATTTTAAGACCCACCTTTCTGCTCTCCTTGTCCAACTCCGTAATCATGAGTTGCAATTTGTCCCCTGAGTTACTCAGGAACGCAATGCCATCGGTGAACCACAGGTTACTAAGGTAATCTTCATTAACTCGTATTCCTAACTGTTCGCATTTTAGGCTTCTGAAAACCTCCTGTAAGTACGCGGTAAATAGCATTGCGGAGATTGTGTCCCCCTGACTTACACCCTTCTTGATTGGTATTCTGTTGCTTTCTTTAGGAAGCAATATGGTAGCAGTTGATCCCCTGTAGATTTTTTCCAGGAAGTTTATATATACTTCATCGACGCCCTGATTCCGCAGTGTCTGCATGACTGGTGATATTTCTACAGAATAAAACGCCTTCTCGTAATCTATGAAGGCTATGTGTAGTGGTTGGTTATATTCTGAGCATTTCTCTATTGCCTGATTGATAGTATGAATGTGGTCGATTGTTGAGTAGCCTGTTCGAAATCCTGCTTGTTCCTTTGGTTCATTAAATTTTAATGTTTTTTAACTCTGTTAGCAATTACCTTTGTAAATAGCTTGTATATTACGGAGAGCAAGCTAATCGGCCTGTAATTCTTGAAGTCCTTGTCATCTCCTTTCTTATGTATTAAGATGATGTTAGCATTCTTTTAAGACTTTGGTACTCTTCCCGTCAAGAGGCACAAGGAAGCATAAGGTATTTTAAGAGACCAAATCTTTCGAAGTAGCAAGGCCTGGATAGTGCGAAAAAATCCCGAGCGTGCAGCTTTAGACAAGAGTTCAGGGCGCGTCAATGCCGTTCCATTGTTCGCATTTCAACGCAGCTTCTTGCTATGTTTTGTTGAAACGAGAGTAAGTATTACATCCTCCACCAACAGTTCAATGTTCTGATTGCTGCTCTTTCACAGCAGTAAGGTGATAGCCATTTCCTTGAGACTTGAGTTTTCACTGTCATCACCTCATTCAGCTGCGCTGCCTGTACCAGAACTAGCAACAGCCTTGTAGGCGCATGGAGCCCTGTAAATCTCAAGAGATTATGTTCACCTATGTAAGATACTACAAAACAAACCAATTTCTTGATGAAATAGCCCGTCATTCACTTGGATACGTCCAATTGATATGATGTGAGCAGATGTAGGTGGGAAAATAAGGCGCCGACTGCAACTAAGCTTTTGATGGAGTGAACGTTCAACTCACAATTCTGTTATAGCAACATTAGGTGTAAAAAAAAAACAGGGTGTTAAGAAAAGGAAAACAAAACAAAAGAAACTGCCAGACAGCATTCTGACAATAACACCAGTAGAAGAAAAAAAATACTTCATTCTATTTCATCATTTGGGTGGACGTTAAAGAACCTCAGGTGGTCGAAATTTCCGGAGCCCTCAACTACGGCGTCTCTCATGATCATATGGTGGTTTTGGGACGTTAAACCTCACATACCAACCAATCAATTTTATTTCTTCCTCCACCGAAGGTATGTGCCTTTGTGACACAAAAGGAACAAGATCACTGCATGTATATGTGGTGCACTTTTCTGTGCCTGCGACAGAATACTTACCTAGACAACAGCGCGTATCGCATTCTTCCACTGTACAAATGTGCCTAAAGAATGCATCACTCGGCTACCTGACTTGGTCTTTCCATTGCCAGAGAGTTTATAAATGTTCACGCTCCATGAAAAAAAGTAGGCATGATTACGCGCACATAAAGCAATATTCACTGTTTACGAAGGATTTGCTTTATGTATATTTCAGCATGCGCGTTGTAACTCCTTTCAGGGGCGAAGCTCCTAAAACCATGGATTTGTCCTTCTGCTGTGACCGGTTCGTGACCACCTAGTTTATAGATGACTCAGCAGGTAGCGCTAGTGTAACAGACAGACAGACAGACAGACAGACAGACAGACAGACAGACAGACAGACAGACAGACAGACAGACAGACAGACAGACAGACAGACAGATGGACGGACGGACGAACGGACGGACAGGCGGGCGGGCGGGTGGGCGAATTTACGGTTTACTGATAAAACCCTCCGAAGACTCACCCCACTCAATATCATTCACTCCGTGGGTATGCAGTGATTTTTTTTTGCCCACTTGCTTTTGGGTGCTTTTGGATTATAATAAAATGTTATGACATTCATGTTTCTTATACTGGAGTTATAGATGCGCCTTGGTTTACTTGTGGTTCGCGTTTTTTGTTATACGTGATAATTTAAACACACCTATTTAACAAGGACACTTCTAACTTCTAAAGATCAGCACCTATTCGGCGTATAACCCTACAGTACGTTCCTGTAACAAGCCTTTGCTCAGCTCTTTAGCAAACTCCATTTTATATAGTCATTTCATTGGTTCGCAAGACGTATGATATTTTAAGTAGAAAGGAATGAACACAGGACGTAAATAAACAATAGATATCAGCCAACGCGCCCTTCTAAGTTAGGACAATCAATTCTTCTCTTTGTTTTTCTTTGAGCTGAGGCGTCTGGAAATTTTCAAAAGCCCTACCATGAATTATACCACATGAGCGCATACTTCGGTATATAGTGACTTGTATGTTGCCGGAAATGTTTTTGGAGTATTGGATATGATAGTTGTGGTATTCCTGTATTATAATTTTTATTGTATACACGGGAGACATGTGAAATCTGAATAGTTTGACCGGGGGCTTTTGTCCTATACCGACAAGAGTTATGGAGATTCGTTATTATGCTGGTTAGGCAATTATTTACATAAACTACACTGATCAGTAAAACCGGTGGTTAAATGTTTTTTATATGCACATTCCAGTCAATAATGACCGGACTCTTTAACACTGATTAGTTTAATATTAGCTGTGCAAGCTCGCCGTGGCACTTCCAAGCAGCCCGAATAATTCTTTCTGAAGGGCGACTCCGGTTTCTCTCACCTTCCACCTTGTCTAGCGTTAGTTTTCACTCCACTGAGCTGTAAACCGGAAGCCCGCATGATGTGACCGATAGCAGGAAACCTTTAGTTTTGCCCCGCCGTGGTGGTATAGTGGCTAAGGTATTAAATTGCTGACCCACAGGCCGCGGAATCAAATCCTGGCTGCGGCGGCTGCATTTTCGATGGAGGCGAAAATGCTGTAGACTCGTATGCTCAGATTTAGGTGCACGTTAAAGAACCCCAGGTGGTCGAAATTTCCGGAGCCTTCCACTACAACGTCTCTCATAGTCAGATGATGGTTTTGGGACATTAAACCCGACATATCAATCAAACATTCAGTTTTAGGGCTCTTGTTTAAACATTTGGGTTCAGTCTCATTTTTTTTTATAAAAATTACTGCATTGACATTCCATGCAGTTCTCGAGAATCTAAGGAACTACTATATCTCGTCTGCCAGGCTTTTTATTGCATATTTGTGCAATAAATTTTGTGCAATATTTGTGCAATGAGATGAGCGAATGTATTAGCCAGATGTGTTTAGTTTTAAGGCTACGGTATTTTACTTCATAATCGTTCGGAACTCCATTAATCGTTCACTGTTATTTTCTGGTTCCTCTCAGTCGTCTGTTCTTTATTGTTACCGATATTCCTTTTAAGAAGGGCTTGCTTGTAAACGTTTTTCAAGGGAACCATGAGACGTTACAGAAAGAATATTTTTTTCTGAGGTGTATGTATACAATGCTTGCAGTAAATCAAATAATTTGCTGTTGTGTGTGAAAAAAATATACCAGAACTTATTGGCATTACTTGCTTGATTGCATTTGAAAGCTCTCTTTCACTTACCTCGAAAACTGCTCTCACGTTTTCAAAAGACTAATGCAGAATCTATCCTGCCGATGGTCACTGAATCTGCACAGAAGCACCTCTGAGAGATATCATTAGAACAAGCCGTTAGAACACCATACAGAAAACAAACTGCTACAGGGTTCGTTCAGTGGCGTGAGTTTATATTGACAAACATTTATGACATAATTAGCAGTATCCGTTGTGACTATCGAGTCTACGTAGGCAACGCAGAGCACAGAACTGTACCACGACGAGTCACAATATGTGCATGGTCAAAGCTGGAGGCGTTATTGAGCGCGGCAAAAGGTCGTCGACACACGCGCGCAGCTCGAGCTTCCCACCAGCGCCGTCGGCTTTGACTTTTCGAGCAGCCATCACAACATAACGTCACCGGCTGCTTCCAGAGCACATGTGTCTGTGAAGAATCGCGCGCCACCGATCTCTCACCGGGAGTCAGCAGGTGTCTGGGTCGCACGTAGCGGTGCCCGCGTGTACGTCTTGACTCCTGCCTTGTGGCCCTCAAGATCGGTCAGCAGCCGACCGCAAGCCATCGCCACACGCTTCCGGGTGTCTCGTAGAGTCACGTGATGAGCCGTTATGACGTCATAGCAGTCGGAGGAACCGGTTGTTGTGGATCCGAGGAGCAAGGCGGCAGTGGCGAGCAGCGGGACAGGCGTCACCACCGGATGCCCCCCGAGGAGGCAAGGCGGTGTGCTCGCTGGTCGACTCGCGCCTCGTCCGACCTCGACGCCGCCGTCACAGAGCAGCGGATACCGCTCCTCGAACAGAGCGACGACGACGATCCAGCTGAAGCCATGGTACGCCCTTTCCGTCTCCGCGCTGCCTAATCGGCCTTCCGGATCGCGTGTGCGCGCGCGGATTGCTGCTGCCTCGAACGCCGCTCCGTGCGCGCCGCGAACCGGGCCCTGCTGCTGCTTCACGGCACGTTTTTCCGTGTCCGCATGACCGTACACTCGGCCAGTGCACCGTTCGGAGCAAGGGCGCTTCCTACACGCCGCCTGTACGAAGCGCTTGCTCTTTGAACGGCGCTTGTGCCCGGCCGCTGCCGCCACAGAGCGTTAACGTCCGTCGAGCCCGTGCTTTCATTTTGCGTTTCATAACATTTTATTTCACGCTCTTGCTTGAAGTGCTACTTCGCGATGTAGGCATCGGCTGAAGTGAACGGTGTTACAGACGTGGGGGTGTGTCCGCAACATAAACCAAGAGAGAAATTGCCACAGGGTTTGATAAGTATGGCTTTCTTGTGTAGGCAGCGTAGGGCATGTGGCTTGCTATAGTGTAGCTGGAGGCTGTGGAGCTGGTAAATGGGTATTGGTGCTTTCAGCGGTTGCATCCACCTGTTGCGCTTTAGAAAGTGAAGTTGAGCTCTCTCGCGTTTCCACAACATTTGTTCCTTTTGCGCGCTTTTAGTGTTTTCATTATCTTATTTCTTTACATCCGAGCATAAAGAGTTTGTCTGCGGTAAACGTGTGATGGTATGCAAAAGTGTAATTTTTGAAATAAAAAGGCACAGTATCTTAGGCTGGCACATGCATCTATATAGAGGACCATGTTGTGGTTGTGAGACCATTTGCAAATACCAGGAGGTACTTTTGCGCGCGTGTGTGTTCTTGGAGGGGAGGAGGGTGCAGAACTTCGCGATTCATTTCAAACAGCTTAGGAATAGTAGGCAACTGTAGCCCTTTATAAGCACGTTACCAGTGAGGTCAACGTGGGGTTGTTGTCCCGTTATTTGACGAGCTCTTCTTCTGAGTCGCCACCGTAAACACCAGGATTCGCTTACATTCGAACATTTTTTTTTATGCATGCACCTACATTAAAAATATCATGTTTCGCTGCTTTTCTTAGCGAAGCCTGGTGTTGGCGTGCCATAGAGATAGAGAGAGGGTAGTCAAGAGTCGTGTGAAATGACTTCAACGACGAAATATAAAGGTAGCGTCAATTATGTTAAGAGACGCACCGAAGTGTAAGTGATGCCAGTGAGACTGACCTGCCTTTGTGGCCATTGAAAAATTTACATTTATACGCTACAATAAATACTTGCCCGTATTCCTTGCGATTCTGTATACAGAATCATCGATTTTGTGACTTTTTTTTTTATTTTTGAAGTGCGCAGTGCCTAACATCCTTACGCTTTGTGATACGGAGCATATATTTTAGTCGTGTCCGTGCTTTCTTGCAAGTGATTAGGTGTTAGGGAGCTCACCAAGACGAATCTTCCACGTGAACACTCATGTTTTATATATGAATCTCTTCTCTTCGTAAGCGGATTCCCGTTCTTTGTCAATCCATTATTGCGTTCGTAGAGGAATGCCTCGTGAGAATGGTGCAAACCTCGCCGGTTCATCTGTCCGAGCATTTCGGGCAGCTTAACGCAATTATTACGTAGAGCATATTATCCGGGAAGAGGGCGTTGTCGATGGGGAGTAGCACCTAAGAAGTGAAATCTAATTGAGAAGCCATGGCCATGCTTGATGTGATAAATTCGTTTTGCTCAATTTATGTTGGTCATCAAGTATATGTTTTTATTAATGAAATACTTGGAGTAGGCAGAGGTATACGGATTCCAATCTCCCCAACTGGACCAAATGTAATCCCATATTTTAAACTTCCGCACGCCGGTGATCTCGAAGGACAGAAAACGGCGCTGTCCTCACATACACGGTAAAACATTTGCGCTGGTGTAATCTCCGAAACCACTCTTTCGGGCTATTGCTATTAGCGAGAGCAAATTCATCGTCACTGCCCTACTTTACACTTTCGCGCTGTTGATATGAGCAAATATGATTTTCCCCGTACGTTTCTGTCGACCACCGTGACTGGTACGAATGCAGTAACCGACATAACGTTCAGGTTTACGATCTCTTTAGGCACAACTTCAGAAGCTTTCCTCCATTTTGTCTTTCGTACGAATGAAGCCCGACACTGATTCTTGACAGCACACTGTGCTACTGCTCAACGGTATGACTCGCGCGTCACATCTTTTTGAGGGCTGGACGGGCACGCTTCGCGAAAAGCAGCGACGTATTTTCGCCACTAGTCAAATCGATGCCCACTTCAGCTACGGGGACATGGACGTTGTTCACACTCCGTCACATTGCATCTCAACCAAAGAATCTGCTTGCTTTGCGATGCATACTGGCCTTTGACGCGCCTTATGGAAAGCGACTAATAGAATGCCACGTAGCACAAAGCCACTCGTCTTGAGCCCACCATGACAGGGTGTCGCTCGATATGGCTCGCGTGGCTTGAAACGATGTTGTTCAGCTCTATAAATAGTAACGGTGCTTTCGCCTGCGGGAATCATGTCACACTGGGCTGCGAAAGGAAAGACAGATGACAGCGCCGAAGATGATGACGAATGGCTCATTCTTGCGCGTTCCATCTGAGCAACTCGCTAATATATTTCGTCTTTCTGTCGTTACCGTAAAAAACAAAGCAAATCGCGAAATTTCATTGTCCCTGCCTTTTTAGCGTTACTACATGCAGAGGCCTTCATTGACGATTGTCACGAAATCGATGCACCAGACTCCTTTTGCATGTGGTGCTGTAAGTTCATGGAAAACTCTGTATGCAGTTACTAAATAATGGGGAGAAACTACGAGGGAAGACAATAGTATTAGGCCTTATGATAACGTCTTTAAATGAGAAATTGCTTCCTGGAAACGTTCGAACACTCGATACTGCCTCTTGAATGTATCGCATCGTAAGCAAAAAAGAGAAACAAAGCGGGTAGAGGAAAGGCAGCCAGGCCAACCCGACACCCAAAGCAAATTTTTAAACGTCATCAAGTGCCATTGGCTGCGTCTGTGAGTAGCCCCGCCGCGGTGGTCTAGTGGCTAAGATACTCAGCTGCTGATCCGCAGGTCACGGGGCCGAATCCCAGCTGCGGTGACTGCAATTTCGATGGAGGCGAAGATGCTGTAGGCCCTTGTGCTCAGATTTTGGTGCACGTTAAAGAACCCCAGTAGATCGAAATTTCTGGAGCCTTCCACTACAGCGTTCTTCATAATCATAGGGTTGTTTTGGGACGTTAAACCTCACATATTAATGAAATCATGCATCTGTGGAGTATACATATGTAACTTGACTCCTGAAAAGAGCCGCGAAAGAGTGTTTACGCTTGTAGATTGTTTCAGTTCTCATTTTTTTTTTGCCTAGCTGCAAGTTTGAAGTCATTCCCGTGAAAAATAACACTATAAGAGAAATAGTGAAAGAAAAATCTACATAACATGTGCGTGAGTGAGCCGGTGGTTATGCGGCGAAATGTGCGGTCTGCTGCTGCAGCAGTGCCACATCAATGCAGAAGCAGCTGGCGATGCTCTCGAGTCTCCTCAGTGCAGGTCACGTAACCTTGTAAAGAAGCAAAAGGAACTTGCGGAGTACGGAATCCTTACTGCTAAACATAATTGTTAAAGGGCGGAACATACGTGTGTCAGCGATAGCCAGGAGAGAGACTGCGTTTCTCACTTCACAACCTAACCTCTTCCTTTTAAGAAAAATTTAAATATATATATATATATATATACCGATTTCATTCTTACCGCAAGCTTGCTTTCATTTTTTTTACGTTCAGTACTTCAGTTCAAGTTTATGCGTGTATATTCACAGTGACACCTCAAAGGTTGGGATGCTCACGCCTATTGGCATTATTAGAAATTTTAATGTAGTACAGGCACATCTGGGAGAACAGATTTTTGGGGCACAGCCTTCAAAAGCGACGCCCTTGCTAAAAACAAAACAAAAAGTGGGCTCACATTTTTGATAAATTTTTATGGTTGCACTTGGGACATACTTTTGCGGTACCACACAATTATTATTGATACTATCGAATGTGATCACTTGACTAGTAGGAGTGGTTGTTTTGGGAAGTTGAAGAGGTAAATACTTATAATAAATATTAACCATTCGTCCAGAAACAAAGGAAAAGAGTGTAAATTTTTCATGACCATGCTTGCTTAGAGAAGCAGTCTATTACAGTTCGCACGTTCAGCGGAGCAGCTTATGGGTGTACCAGGTTTTTATCGAGAACCTTTTCATATTACGCCTTCTCCACAGTACTTGTAACAAAGCAGAGTATAGCTGGCTAATTAAACACCTTCGAATTGACTGCGGCGAAAGTTTTAACAAGTGCGAGCATTAGAGTGATTTTTCGGGCGTGTTGGTAAGCGGATGCCGAAACCATATTGAGCGCTAGCAAACAGAGACGTAAGGGGGACGATGCATTGTTTTGTCGCGTTGTGTTGTCGTCTTCCTTCCGTCCCTATTTGCTAGCGGTCAATATGTTTTCGGGCAATAGTCACTGTGCTCCAAGAAAATAGTCCGTTATTCGCGCCATATCGAGGGTTCTATTCTCATGTGCGTTTCCAACTCAAAATCAGTGCAATTTTGTTTGCAGTTGTATCGGTGGTTTTGGCGCACATTTTGATGTCCATCGTGGCTGTGAAGCATGATGAGTGACATTATCATTTTGTCTCGACTTTCCCAATTACAACAAGAAAATGTTATTGCAGAAACATAAGCCACTTCGCAAATCGCATGGGAGCACTGTGATGTCCACAGATGCGCAGCTCTGCAATTATGTAAAATAAAGGAAAAACAGTTGACCAATAAAACATCCACGCAGACACTTCTTGCGTAGTTGTATACGTGATGCGTAAGCGTACAATTTTAATTCAGTAAACCCCATCGTTACGGTGTTGCCTGAAACGCTGCCATCGCGCGGAATCGGTGCGGCGTCTTTCGTCTTATTTCTACAAACATATTTTATGTTTCTGAAGATTGGTGGGCGCCGTTG